TTTTGGTACTTTTTCCCTATCCGCACCCATATTCAGAAGAAGGTATTTTTTATACCTTTTTGAAATACCTCTCTGCTCTTTTTGAGATTTTAGTGATTATTCGGCAGGTTGCATATCGAAAATCTGAAGGGTGTGTTTTATTTTTCAAATGGTTTTCACGTCATACTTAAAGGTTGGAATAAAGATTTTGTAGTTTGAATGTCAGACGGCGACCGATTCTAAGGCGATCTCATTCGCTGGACAGGAAGTTTTCACAGAAGTGCCAGTAATTATTCGATAGCTTAAATCTTTGGCTATGACTTTATGCCGGCGATTTTTTATAGCATCCTTTTTAGCATCCAGAATAAATTTTGTTTCTGACTCGCTTTTTGTCTTCATTTTCACCACGCATATAAATAGCTGGAAGCACAAGTATATCAGCGTGTAGACAATTTTCGGTAACATCAGAGCCTACGTTTTCACTTGAGATTTTTATCGATGTGGTGAAGAAATCTTCAATGAATAACAGTTCAAACGCGATCAGCCCCCTTTTCCCTGCTCCGTGAGTTGGCTGGTAAGCAAAGTCCTTGAAAAGGTTCATGGCCGAGTAAAATGTGAGGAGAAGCCACAACGACTTGTTACTTAGGTAATCTCCAGATATACCTCATATCTCGATAGTGATGTGCCACACTATGCATTAAAACTGTAGGAAGTATTGTTATTTTTTTGTTAATTTTTTACCGCACACGGCAGAAACTTTGAAAGAAACGTAGATTCTGATACTACAGAAAATTCCCTACACGCTGATATGCTTTTGATGCTTTCAGCGAATTATACTCGTAGTAAAAATGAAGATTAAAACGAATGGAAAAAAAGTTCGTTTTGGATGATAAAGCGTTATAAAGCGCGTTTTGAAAAAAGCGGTGATGTGGAGCTGTAGTTAGAGATTTATGCTTTTGAACAACCACTAACACTTCCATGAAAAGTTCCTTGTTCAGCGAATAGGATCGGCTCTAAAATACGTCGCCATACAACATATAAACGCCAAAATTTCTTACACACTCAAGCATTTTCTCTGGAAAGAGGTTTTCATTCAGACTTCAAGAAACTATTTGATAGCACAAATCTCAACGATCTTAATGATAAGCTTTGCTTTTGAGAAGGACGTTACAATGCGTTGTCACAGCTAAATAAATTGTTTTTCACACGCCGCGCTGTGTCGATCATTCAGCGCAATTTACACGTTGCGTGCGGTGCGCGACGAGTGTAAAACTCATTATTCTTTCACTGTGACGACGCACTGTAAACTCTTTCTCAAAAAACTAAGCATATCCTCGAATTTGTTAAGATTTGCGCTAATGAATGAATGTGAAAGCCCTGAAAGAAAAGCCGTGTCTAGCGAACAATACTCATATGTGCAAAACAGTTTTATTCTTATTGCTACAACTCGTAAAGAGAATTTTTTTCAAAAGGCAAACCCACCATTGAAATCTACGAGATGTGAGCTATCGATTGGTTATTGTACGGCGCCGGTCTGATGCCAATGTTGCAATATACATGCACATGGCGGTGGGACGCATACGCGCCGCTTGCAAGATGCAATCTTAATTTCAGTGCTGCAGTGCAATAAAGAGATTTTTTGGAGGTCGAAGAAGACCATAAACTTTACCGATATTTGTGTCCTCGAAAAACTGCTGAATTTCTTGAGGAAAAGCTTTCTTCATCAGAAAAATGCTTGAGTGTTAAAGAACATTTTCTTTTCATTGTTACAGGCTATTAGAAAGGCTTTTCAAAGAATAAACTACATATCGCAGATTTTCGAGATTTAAGCTATCGAACAATTGCTAAACTGTCTAGAAAGAGCGAAAATACGTTTTTTGAATATAGGTGCTGATAGGGGAAGTAGCGTATGATGAGCAATGATGAACGCGCGCTTTTGCTACACTGAATCGAGGTGCATATTAATAGTTACCTTCACATAGACCACTGTCAGAAATGTTTAATTGTAAAAGATGTGCTTTCAAGCCACGTTCTTGCAGGACAAGCAATGCAATTGCATAATAGGGGTTAGTGTTTGTTTATTTCTTTACAAGAACGTAGTTCTAAGGTTGAAAAATGAAGTATTTCAAAAGACTAAGTCACTCTTTATATCAAAAACCTTCATAAATGGTTCATTCGTGGTAATAAATTTTCTATGTAACGATAAGGTACCTCTGACATATAGACTTCACCTATAATTACCAAAAAACCAACTATGACGTCGAAGCAGCCGGGTAGTATCTAGGCCTGAAATATGATCTTTTCACCGCCCTTACAGCGTTATGTGATTACCTTTCGGAAAACCAATTTATCCACCAAAATTCTCGAGGTTTGAGCTATCTAATGAGTAATGAAACTTCAGTGATCAGCCATATCGAAGGCGCAGCCAAGCAAATAAAAAAACTGAGTGTGAAACATAAGTTTTTTTTTCGCTGTTACAACGTATTAGAAGGTCTTTTTCTAAATCTGAACAGATTATTGGAATTGCAGGGAGTTAAGCTTTCGGATGATTGCCAAATGTCAAGGAAAAAACTTTTATGCAGCGAGAAAGGCCTTCAGAATTTGGTATACCCCAGCTGGTACACGCCGTCCCCTAGGGTGTAAGACTTACTGAGGTTATTACATCAGAGCCAAAAGTACGTTTCGGCAGTGTCGCCTGCTTCATCAGTAGCCCACGCCGCACACTTAACTCTATTTGATAGCAGGGATGGGAGACGTTATTTGTGACGATAGCACACCATAATATGTTATCACCATTCCTTAAGCGAGGTTCAAAACAGTCGATGAGATAGATTTTTGTAAAAACGATTATATCACATTTTTATATGCTGTTTCAATGTATAATGTCTCTGCGCCCTTGTTACAAAGTAGAGTAGGCTACAAAAAAGTGTTCAGTGTGGAGCGTGAGTTACTGTTCAAACAATGGCTCCTCCGAAACATACGTAGGACTCTGACGTAACAACCTCGAAAAGGCCCTAAACTTTCACACGGACAATAAATTAATTATTTTGAAATTATTTGTTCTTTTGGCATTTTGATATCTTCATCTACTACAGAACCGAAATGATCCGAGTTGACTGTTCAGAGGTGAACGTCTTCTTAAAATGGTGTTCGTTATCTATATTTTGAGCTACAACTGCGCTGTTTCACTTAATGAAATAACCACTTTTGCAGGAGTCATTGTCGATAGAAAATCATCGTATTGAATGGCCGCGGCTCAGCAACATCCGTTCTGTAAAAAGGAACATCATCGCATGAGTATCGTCATTCGATCGGTTTCCACATCATTGGATTCGACTCAGTGCGACGATGGACACCTACACCAACTACAGACCATCGACGAGAATCAATATGAATTTGAAGCCAGTGAGTACGTCGAAACTTAGGTCAAATGATAATTTCTATATCAGTCCTATGTCAGCTGAGCAGTTTAGAAATATAAACACATAATCAGTTATTGCACTTCGCTCCAGGTTGTAAGCCCTCCTATCCTCCCTAAGTCGGCATGGTGACGGCTGTCTTGTCTAAGAAAAGCATCTTCAACTCCAACCCAAAACAATTACAAACTGCATGGTTGAAGACTCGGGAACGCGCTCCTAGAGCTGTCTTAGGTTTCACAATGCAAGCAAGCTGACTAACATTCAAAGAAGATAAGATTTCAAATCACTAACGCCACATTCAAGTCCGAATAACCCTCAAAGACGTATCAAAGGCACCGAATAAAATGTAATGAATAAACGGATAAATTTCAAAAATTTCAAGTTAAAAGTGGAAAGTTTGCTGTGAATTTGAGCTATCGTATCATCACTGGAGTGCATAGTGCGGCGTAGGTCTTCAGCTGCAAAATGCTAATAACAGCATCAGCAGAATAACTGGTGACTTCCTAATCACAGAAATTCCAATATAGCGACTTCGTATAATTAAGACGCTGCCATTCACGAATTATAGCTTGATATTTAGCCTTGAAGGAGCGCATGTGGCGCAGTGGTTAGAGGTGCCCTGCGTCGCACACGAGGTCAGTGGTTCGATCTCGCGCTCATGGCTCACCAAGCCATCCATCCCTCCGGGGTCGGTAGATTGGTACCAGACAGGTCTCAGACTTGTCTGGGAGGATAAGCAGCACTGACTCGGTTCAGCGGAAGGCCTCCGCGAGTCATTGTAAAGGCCAGATATGCATTAATCACCTCAAACGAAGTTAAAAATTGAAGTCGAATGCATGGCGCATCCCTCAGGGATTGATTAACGCCAAGAGCTTTATCCTTTATCTTTTATTTAGCCTTGGATATACTCTCAAATGGTCTGTCTACACAAAAAGTCTCCATGGCTTCAGCACAGCTTTATCTCGGCTAGTAATTCTAGGTCAACCATGACTTGATTTTCTTAGAATTGCCGACGTAGCCACACCAATGCTTTCCCGAGGTAGCAGTTTCATAATGTTGCACTCACACACGCTTGCTGAGTTCGCCTTAAAGTCTATCCATGGCATATATCGTCAATTTGATAGTATGAGAAAAATATTCTGTGGTTTTTCAAACAATTCTGTAAATTAAAAGTGACTTTTTCTATTGAGAAATTGGCAAACATTTCCGATCCTCAACCACATACTATCCATTCTTTTTCAATTCTTTTTTCGACACCCAGTGTGACGTTATCAAATACTGGACATTGAAGGATTTCTTTTCGAAAAAAAAAGCTCAATCGATTCTATATGCCTAAGAAAATTGAGTGGTGAGCAAAAACACGACCTCAGGCGGGAGTCGAACCCACGTTCATCCTATCCGGGGACGCGTGCTCTACCACTACACCACTGAGGCACATTTACCCGACCACTCATTCTTCAACATCTCAATGTTAGCTATCAGCCACCAACCTTCGACAGGTTTGGTCGGGTATGCGATTTCGCTTTATAAACCCAGTTGAGCTGACAGCTATTCTAATTACTAATACTCGAAATGATAGTAATTGAGTGGTCGGGCAAATGTGCCTCAGTGGTGTAGTGGTAGAGCACGCGTCCCGGATAGGATGAAACGTGAGTTTGACTCCCACCTGGGGTCGTGTTTTTGCTCACCACTCAATTCTCTTAGAAATATAGAAAACATCATAACACTGCGAAATGCATTAAAATACTATCAATTTCAATCGATTCTATTAAGCTGCTTCGCTTTGAACGGTCATTTGATATCTTTTACTATATATAAATTTAACATAGCAGTAGCTCAATATAGCATTGACACTTTATTTCATAATAATTTTTGAGAATTCTGAGTGACATGTCATTGAAGAGGATTGAGTAATGACTCTAGAAATTAGGTCAGGTGCTGCCCTCCTCTACGCTTTATGCATTTCTTGACTAAGTTGTAAATCAATGACAAAACTTCTTGGAAATTTGATCATGTAACAGCATTTGGAGAGATTTTTGGCCCAAAGTGTACAAATTACTAATCAAGGATCACAATCTAATAATTTTCAGGACCGATCATCATTTGACCTCGAGATGAATAATACGTCGCGGATGGTATGGACGCTATAGTTTCCATGCACAAGGTGTGAAATTTCGCTTTTTAAAAGCTGTCTTCTTCCGGCCAGTAAGATCCTTTTCTCTTTCTTTTCTGGGCACCAATCAATATGTGGCTACTATAAGAATCCATTTCACTGCGCCTTTGATTCCACGAAAACCGAGCCAATTCGGAAGCACAAGAATACTGCGCTGCAAAAAACAAAAGCTCGACTCCGGATGATTGTAGTCGTGTCTTTTCGGACTGTCTGAGCTAGTACGAAGCTGTTAAAGAATTGAAACTAATGTTAACTGAATTGCGACTCTGCCTTTTCTTCTAAACAAAACTTGAAAAGCTATTTTTCAGATATTTTTAGAAAAGAGCGAAAAAATCGGCAAAGTATTCTACACCACTGCTGTGTTCGTCTGAGATAAATTTGATTTGTTTAGTGGCTTTGCTGCTTGAATACAAGCCTTGTTGGGAAGAATAGCGGGCAAAAAAAAAGCTGTTTGCGAAATTTGATATCTTATTGTAATTTTACAATCGTGAGGCAGCGAAGGTCTCTTCCAATATATCTTTCATATATAACGTTAAAGGTTGAATTGGTTTAGGTAACGTATGAGAACTATATAAATCACACATTCTCAAATCTCTTGAGCATTCATGGGCTATGAATTGTGTAGTCTTGAGCGTTCACCTTCACAAGTACTCATCTCTAATTCTGTAGCCTCAAGAGACACTGGTTTGGCGGAACTATTCTTTCCTATGAGGACTGATGGCAATTTGATCGAGGATAGAAGAAAATACTAGGCAAAATTTTTCGGTTAAAAAGTTGGTAAGAGTAAATATATAAATTGGTTAAAAGAGGACATTTTCTTAACAGATTATTTCAATTATATCATTTTCATATGTTAGTATGAGAGTGCGTGTGGCGCAGTGATTAGAGAAGCACTGCGTCGTACACAAGGTCGGTGGTGCGATCTTACCCTCATGGCTCACTAAGCCTTCCATCCCTTCGGTTGGAAAATTGTCACTAAGATTTTGTGATAGGATTAGCAACACTTGATTTGACACATTGGTAGGCCACCGCGAGTCATTTCAAGAGCCAGAATACATTGGAACATCTCAAATGAAGCTAGAAAATTGAAGACGAATGCATTAAGCATCCCGTGGGGTTGATTAGTGCCGAAGACTTCATTCTTTTACGCTTCATGTTACGCATGTCTAGATAGCTTAATATCAATTTTCAGACTTTGAAGAAGAAATTCCAAGTATTCAAACCATAAAGTTTGTTAGCAATTGGAATAAAATCACTAGAATGCACAAACTGGTGCCAAAAGTAGAATTTTTTTCACCAACGAAAGTGGAGCGATTAGCGATGCAGCCCTACCAGAAAATTAGTTTTGCCTCAGCCTTCTCCCCAACGGTTTCTTCCAAACACATAGGAGCGCCTCAGCTCGTGTTCTCAAGACCGTAACGAGATCCGACTCTATTAGCACCCTACGGTCTCCATAGAGAAGACGAAATCCTTGAGCAGCAGCTGAAACAATACGTGAGTTATTCGAAATTATTTATGAGATATAAATAGGAAAAACGAATTAATTGCAGGAAGTGCTGAAATCGTCGTAGCAAATGTGATGACGAGTCATGTAAAGTAAACGATAAATAAACCGATGAAACGATAATATGCTGATTTTTTTCGAAGCATTCGGGAATTTTCATCCCTGTCAAGATGTCTGTTGAATGAAAATTGGTTGAACAGCAGAGATTTCTTTAGCTGTCGTGTTAGTACTCGTGTTCGTTAAAATTTTGTGGAGTGGGATTTTGTCCTCAACGTGTTAAAAATTAGATTTCGAATAGTTGGGAAGCAAAGTGACTTACTTACATCGGAGTGCGTAGAAAGAGTGGTTGCTAAGCCTTGCAGTTTCGTCAGTTGCACAGTGCCTTTTCGTTCAGTCAGTTCCTCAGGGATCTATCTCTTGCCTAGAGTAACCAACAACAAACGTTTTACACGAGCCGTTAAGTGGTTATAAAAATGATTATCAGATATACTGAATTAAAAGCGTGGTCTCAAAAAACACTCGAAACGAAGTTTATAATATCTCACGATTATCAGCCAAGAGAAATCGAGTGTAAAACGCTGCCCGTTTAATGATTCCATCACTTAGCGGCTTGTGTGAAACCTTCGTCGCCGGTTCTTCTATGCAAGGGGTAGATCCTTGAGGACTTGATCGAACGAAAGGGCAGATGTAACTGAAGAGGCTGCAAGGCCGAAACATGTGTATTGCACTTATAAGTGCACATAACATACCACATGCATAGCTCAGAAATGATTACCAGGCATACTATTATACTATGTTCTTAGTGTTTATAGATCTCTGCATTGTGTCGGTCTCAGAAAACCGACTGAGCTTCCTGAAATCCTCTAGGTAGTCAAATTACTGCTACACCTATCTGGAAAAGAACTCTTTTTTACGACCACATAAGCTGGGGACTTTTGGTGATGACGCATTGAAAAATAGTAACATTCAATCACCAATGAATGAAATTGCTGAAAAAACTAAAACCTCACATGTTAGGGACGTTATCATGCAAATCCGTATATGTTCTTAGGTGATGTATGCGAAGAACTAAACCAAACGAAAGAAGTGACGGGAATTAGTATCTACCTATTATATGTGAAGAAGGGTCGTATGAATAAAATACAAATACTTACTAATTCTAGCCGCTAGAAGTAAAGTGGTGACTATATTTAGTATTTCACTGTCAAATACCTCACGATTTGAAAAAAATATCTGACAAAATCTTGTATGGTATTCACGCATGCAGACTGACGTTCCCTTAGCATTCGCAATGAAGTCAAAGCAGTTCTCCATCATGACTGTCGCAGATGTCATTCTGTGCTGTTGCCGAATTGATCCATAGTCACATCCGATTCGTCACTCAATTATTTCGCCTCTTTGCCGCTCAACATCCACTCTCACGGCTGTAAAAGTCGCTTTGCGACAAAAAAATCCACTGGCGCCGTCGCATGCGTTCCATTTTCGCCGCGCGCTTACACGACTGATTGACCCTAATACCCTGCTCCTATCACGCACCCACATACACGTATAGACAGACATATTCACGCACACACATGCGGACAAACTTTGCAAATTTTATTAATTCTGTCTCTTAACTTATGCTGGTTTCTGTGTTGTATACCTACCTTCCTACTCACCCTAAAAGCATTAAGCTATTCACTACGTTGACATGGAATTACTACTATTATCAAATTTGCTAGTATCCTTCAGTAATAGCTGGAAATTTTCAATTTCAAGTCTCTAAATTCCTTGGTAAAATGACTTAAATAAGTTTCCCTGCTCTATCAGCCTCAACCAACCGCGGCTCTTCATTTCTATAGGTATCTGTTTGTATAAAAGCTAAAGTTTTCAACTAAATATAGCGTAGTTCGAGTTTCTAAACTCCAGTTCCTTAAGTGGAACGTTCTGTGGTTTCACTCATCGTGAACGCTTTCAAACGTTAGTTTATTTCCTTTTTTTCAACTTCCTCTCCCTCAATTCTTTCGTCTTTGTGACTTTTTGATTCTTCCTTTCAGTCGCTTCTACATTACCATATAGGCTTATTTTCTAAATTGATGGCTCAATTTGGAATATTTCATTCAACTTTTGCGAATAAGGAACTGGTTTAACTAGTACAAGTTCTTCCAGATTTTGCGTGATGGCTTCCAGTTCTAGGAAAGGAGTTTTTGTCAAAATTGCAAAATCCTTTTCTGTGTTCTCCGATTACGGAGTTTGTTTCGAACGAAAATAAGATTTATTTATAGGTTCCGGATTCTTTTCAAGATTTTCGGTATTTTTTCTCTCAATTCGTGATCTTCTTTTCGGCGATGTTGAGTTGACGATATCTGTCCGTTCTTCTCCTAACATTTTCTTAGTGAAGCTATTTCTAACTATTATAAAGCAGCAATGCTTTTTTCGCTATGATGAAATACATTGGGATTATTTGTACTTATAAATTATGATTGATAATTACCTATCATTATCAGAAGTGCATTGTGCAATACGATGAGGTGCCGTAAAAGCAAAGGTAACTGATTTTAATATTCGTCTTTCGATGAAAAAGGCTTCTATTGTCTGAGCATCACCTATACTACATTCATTGTTTTTTATTTCTTTACACTCAACATCACTGCGTCACAGCATTTCTTTCATTTGGTTCGTTATCTCGCATCCATCATTCACGGAGGCTGTGCAAACTACACGTGTCTTCGGATAAAACTTAACGAATTTCTCTTGTATTCTTCAAATATATTGAATGCTAATGTAGTTCCAAGACTAACAACCTAATGAACTTGGTATTGCTCAACAGTCTGCAGTCTTTTGTCATAACCCAAGCACAAGGCTGCTTTGATATAATTTACTTGAACAGCTGACATTGCGCATATTTTGCACTCTTCAAGGCCTCGAAAGGTCAGGTTGTCTACGCTCTAATCAGCCAGATACCTCCAATGACACCAACAGAAAACTTTCGCACCAAGATTTTGAACACATTAGAAA